CCAATATATACCCCATGATACTATAATATACCCCAAGTAATCTGATCCGCATTTGCTTGAGGCGCCTTGGGAACAAGGTTTCAACACTCATGTGAAGCAAAGAGCTCAAGGCTCAATGCAAAGTTCATGGCGAGTCAATGCGGAAGGCTCAGGTGAAGGATTGCGCATGCAAAAAAACACAGTTCTGAACGAGAGGAAGAGGTATGCGGGCACAGCGAGGCCCCACCTCATGTTGCAATGAAGCACCCATACTCTTTCGATTGGTTCCTAGATGCATACGTCCCACTCACACCGACTGAACTGGCCATCTCCATCCTAAACTAGTCACTAGTCCTCACTCAACTTCGAGCGTGCAACCGGGTACGACTACAGTGATTGCCCATCCCGTAGAGCACATACGCCTGTGTCCCAGATGCTGCTCGAATCTAGTAGGACTGAAAGAAGGAGCCAAGTGCATGGTGAATTAAGCAATCACCTCAGCAAAAATTCAAGCTTGCAAGAAGAATTTGGCAGAAATATTTTCGTGCCTGCTGCATGGCGCAGGGGGCACACTGCCGGCCCTGCATCTGCAGACACAAACGACGGCGCCTGGGCAACCCGACAGGTTTTAAAGTAACGTTTCAGGGACTTTTCCAGTAAATTACGCGATAGAGGCATAAGGCCACATGCTGTGCTATCTGCACACATAATCAGCGCAGGGTCATCTGAGTGTCATCTGGCTACGTAGAGGCGCATTTGAAGCCTTCTCCCTGCAAACTCAGGACGTGTTGGGGTGGGTTTGACTGTGCCGCTGGAACAAGTCACAATTCCTTCCCAAAGCAACCAACATGAACTCAGGCTTGTCTGCTGCAGTGACGTGTCCTTGACTTTGCAAGTTATCTTTGCTGGTTCAGGGCCCCGCACCTGTGCGGGCATCTGCTCGCGTTTAGTACCACACCGTCGACAATATAGCGAGTCCATCAAGAAAACATTCCTTGCGGACCAGCGTGACAAGCATCTTCTCCCTAGATGTTTTGCGGGCCAGTCCCTAGCAACTTGACCGCATGAGCATCTCTACTGCACATGTCTTGGTGACGGGTTAGCTACTTACGGCATAGGAATGAGAGAAATCCAACTCATCAGGACCGGAGGAGGCTCGTGCATTTGGGGCATTCGGTGCCCTCATCTGTCTCCAGTTTCTTGAGAATGGTCTTCCTCAGGTGGGCAACGGTGCGAGATGTCAAGCTACTGGAACCCAAACATTAGGAAATCCTCTCATGGCTGACACGCACAGCCAACACTTGACCCTGTATTTTAATGGAATGCAATGTGTAAGCTACCCAAGCGTCGCATGTGGCCTCTTCTCCATTTCTTGACGCAACTCTGGCAAAGACTGCGGCCGGCTGAAATAACTCCGCAGCCTTTTTGGTTTCTCCTTCGATGCGCTCAGCTAAACATTGTTCACGTTGCAAAGCTGCATGGGTTCATGGAGGATGCTCAAAATGATAGGCCCTTCTCTGGAATGTCTAGGATCAAGTCGTTTGGAGCAACTTGGGCAGCTACAGGGAAACCTCAATTTCGACATGTGGCCGCATGGATAAGGCCCTTTTAGGCGAATCACAGCATGCACCCCAACCAGGTGTCACTGTGGTCTGGCTAATGGGAACTGCAATGTAAAAGGCCATTACTGCTGCTGACCAAGTCTCGCAATTATCATCGTTGAAGTTCAGATGATGCCTCTCACCACCCAGAAGCATCTTCGAACAAACTGCAGCAGGCCCTGTTGCTTTTGTTGCTATATGGATGTGTTGGCAACTGCAGCTAGCAGGCTTCAGCGGCACGGGCTGAAACTGCGATTTATAGAAGCATCTTGCTATCTTGAAAATGATGCTCTTTGGTCCCGAATTCTGGCATGTACCCTAAATCCTGTAAAAAGAACCTGTTCCTGAGAGAACCCTGCCGTTCTCACAAATAATACATTCCTCTAACATTAAATGCCCCCCCCAATATTGAAGAATACATCCCGGTGCCATCCGGTGCCGAAACAACCAAGGGGAACCGATTTGTCAGTTCGTGCGCACCTCTCATCCCAGGCAGGTCGCGGCTCATCCTTCCCCTTCCTCCCCTCAGCTGTCATTGCCACCTAGTGGTAGGCATCCTTTTTGCTGGTTCTGTCGGCACTCCGATTCCGACATTCTTGAAACGCGAATCACTAATCATCTCTTTGGCCTAACGGTTAACGTGCAGCCCGAGTTCCCGTGGATTCTGCACCCGCAAGCTCCGTGGCGGAGCTGGCGCCCTGCTAGGGGGATGTCGAGTGTTGCAGGACTTGGTGTTTCTTGTGCGGGTCAGTCCAGGACCCCTCACTTCACCCATGCGATTATTGCGCACTGAAGGACAAAATGCCCCAACAGTCCTCTTGCTGGGCGGCGGAGGCCCTGCTTGGGAGCTTCCTTGGGAGCTCGTCACCTCTTGCTGCAGGGGAGGTTCAGGGCGGGCTGCCACAGCTTCCTCTGCGTCTGGCAGCGAGGGGTTGTCTGCCATAGCCCGATGCACGATACACGTCTTGTGCTGATGTCGCGTTTGCTTGGCTTGCCAATGTTGGGTCATTAATGAACCAGCTAAGCAGGGCATCTGCGTTCTGTCGATGCAAGCAAGTTGTGCATGTGAAAATTCAGCATGCATGTAGTTCAGCTAGGATCTAACTACCAGAATGAACTACAAGGCCGCAGGGATTAGCGGACTGCCCTCAAGTGCATCGGCAAGTCGGTGCCTTTAGATGCACCGCTACCTCAGTGAGGAGTGAAAGGCAAGCCCACTGCATAACCAGGAGTTTCTGTTGAAAAAAACGTCCTGGCGACATGTTGTCAAAGTACTCTCCGCCGGACTTCTTGTAGCCTCCATCTGCTCCAGCAGCCAAGTAGACCTGCAATGCCGCACAGCTGCACCCAACAAAGAATGGATAGGTAGTTGGCGCTTCAGAGACAGCGCGCAAACCCTGGAGAGCCATGGTTGCGATGTGACAATGTGACATGCCATTTGACTGCTGCATCAGTGAATTATCCTCCGCAATAGCCTGTTTACTTTCTTGCATGAATGCTTCTCAGCTTGCAATCTGTGTTCCAAAAATCTGCGCTGCCCCTCGTTGCAGCCCTCCTCACCTGAGTGTTCGCACCAAGCTGAACAGATCTGGTCACGAAGCTGATGAATGCATCGGCCACTGGGGTGTCCTGGGGGTTTGCAATTCCAAAGCCGCGGCCAGCTTGAAGCTGCGTAGAAGACTACCTTCAACAGTACTGGGTTGGCCCCTAAATCCCTGTGAAAAACATCAATATACAGGGTCCCCTATTAANNTATCCCAGGGGCCTACCCAGAGTAGCTAACGTAACTCATCTTAGCCAACTGTATGGCGCTGAGACACGGGTCGAAGCTGGCATGTAACTGTTACCGCTTGCGAAGAAGTCCTTGCGAAGCTGGGTGGCCTTCTTGGGATCGCCATCTGCAGTGACCGTCCAGCGCTGGAGGTCAGTGTCCTAATCATCCAGCTTGGGCACCAGCAGAAACACGTGTGAACCGCAGGGTAACTTCACAAGAATTACCTGACCCATTTGTAGGTCAGTTTCGTTGAATTTTCCGTGCTCTCGAGTGACTTATTCGCATGACATGCTGCTATGAATTCTGTTGTGGGTATTTCCTTCCCCCTGGCTGGGACTATCCCTAACAGGACCTGACCTTGACATCAACACCAACTTGTTTCCAAGCCGCCACACCCCCTGGATGGCAGGACACGGCAGTTGCGTTGATGCCCGCCTCACAGAGCAAGGGCTATGCAAGCGATGGTATATGGCCTTCAGCTTCCTTCATGTGATTCATCTTTCTTGGCGGGTGGCTTGCCTCAATCGACACAAAGCACAAAAACGGAAGCCTTCTTGAATTTGCGGTCCAGCTCCTTTGCAAAGAGGACATTGGCCAGCTTTGACTGGCAGTATGCACCTTAAGGGGTGCAAGGTTCACACTGCCCCTTCCGAGTTTGTGAGCGTTGCTCGCACGTTCAGCGCAATGTCTTTCCTCAACACACGCCCTGCAACAATGCGCACGGCACTGTACATTGAATTCGGCGCGCCAGCTACTAGCAGTGGCCAATCTCAATGTCAACAACTGTTGCGTTGCAGTCAGTGCGCTAATCGCATTGGCAGTTCCGCAGCGGTAGAACGACAAGGGTCACGAAAATAGCAGCCTTTGGCCTTCATGTTGAAGGCCACAAACGTTTGCAGGCTGAGCTGTGTCTACGACACTGGAATGCCTGTATCAATGTGCCTGGCAAAAGAATATGTCGGACGTCTTTATGCTGAACCTTTCACCTGGAGAGTATGTCTTGCAGAAGGCGTTCGATGCTCGTGGCTTTGTTCGCCCGGACGTGTACCACGCCAACTGCGACAAGTGGCAGGCGAGTGCTGCGATTGACGTGCCCCGAAGAGCTCGCACCTAAGTCACCAAGAGCATGTTGTGCCTTTGCTCCAAGTCAAGAGAGAAAAGCATTGAGGTTGAAAGTTATAAGGGACAAAGAATTCTGGTTGATCTGCTTGTGTAATTGCCAGGCTGGCAGCTTGTCGGGTATGACCTATTCCAAGAACCAATTGGCTGCTCCAATTGCCTCGAGATAGGAGAATGCCGCGTTGTGGTCACTGCAG